CTTTCGAAAGTTTTTTTTCCAGGCCGCGCCGCATTCTCTGACTGAAGGTATGGAAAACACATGGTTAAGTATTTAGTTATCAATCAATAAAAATAATTTGGCCAATTTTTGCATCGTCTTCTTCCCCTTGTGCGATATCCATCATCGGACATTGGCGATCATGTTGGCGATCCTATTTTTATCAACAGTTAGTTAGTTAGTTTACTTTATTGTCATTGCACCTCATACAACAAAATTAAATGCCATCCTCAGTGTACATTATAACTATAAAAATAAAACACAAACACACATCCTTCACATTCTATACAATTGAATTGAAAACCCCTGATATTGCATTGATATTACACTATACAGTAGAATTCAATATAGTTACTGCCCTGGGATAGAAGCTGTTTTTCAGCCTATTTGTCCTTGTTTTTATGATCCTGTACCGTCTGCCAGATGGTAATAGTTCAAAAAAAAAAAAAAAGTGCCCAGGATGAGAAGGATCCTTAAGAATGTTTTGAACTTTCTTAAGGCAGCAAGAACTATAAAGCTCTTCCAAGGAGGGGAGAGGGCAACCAATGATCCTCTGGGCAATGACGTTAACCCTCTGGAGCGCTGTCCTATCTGCCACTGTGCAATTGGCAAACTATACACAGGTGCAATAAGTTAAAATACTCTCTATGGTGCAGTGGTAGAAGGCCACCAGCAGTTTCTCATTTAGTTGTTGTTTCCTGAGAAGTCTCAGGTAGTATAATCTCTGCTGGGCCCTTTCGACCAGTGCTGCAATGTGTATGCCCCATATCAGGTCCTCTTTTAGGATAGTACCCAGAAACTTCAAACTGGCCACTTGCTCCACTCGGTCTCCATTAATAAGCAAAGGCTGGCTATCCGATCTGTTCCTTCTATAGTCCACTATAAGCTCCTTGGTCTTATTGGTGTCAAGGACCAAATTATTGTCTCCACAAAAAAAAGTGCTGCTGAGTTTTGTCCAAACCCAGTCCCTTAGATTGTTGAAACCATGATAGTTATTCTTCTGCCTGGATCACTTTTCCATGGCCCAGCAAATGATCTGAACCTTGGTCTTCCCTACCCACAGAATAGAATAACAGAGTTGGAAGGGACCTTGGAGGTCTTCTAGTCCAACCTCCTGCTTAGGCAGGAAACCTTACACCACTTCCGACAAGTGGTTATCCAACATCTTCTTAAAAACTTCCAGTGTTGGAGCATTCACAACTTCTGGAGGCAAGTTGTTCCACTGATTAATTGTTCTCACTGTCAGGAAGTTTTCTCCTTAATTCTAGATTGCGTCTCTCCTTGATTTGTTTCCACCTACTGCTTCTTGCCCTGCCTTCAGGTGCTTTGGAGAATAGCTTGGCTCCCTCTTCTTTGTGGCAGCCCCTGAGATATTGGCAGACTGCTATCGTGTCTCCCCTAGTCCTTCTTTTCATCAAACTAGACATACCCAATTCCAACAACCGTTCTACATGTGTTTTAGCCTCCAGTCTCCTAATCCTCTTTGTTGCTCTTCTCTGCACTCTTTGTAGAGTCTCCGCATCTTTTTTACATTGTGGCGACCAAAACTGGATGCTGTATTCCAAGTGTGGCCTTACCAAGGCCTTATAAAACGGTATTAACACTTCACGTGATCTTGATTCTATCCCTCTGTTTATGCAGCTTAGAACTGTGTTGGCTTTTTTGGCAGCTGCCGCACACGGCTGCCTCCTATTTAAACGGTTGCCCACTAGGACTCCAAGATCCCTTCTCACAGTTACTACTACTGAGCGAAGTACCACCTATACTGTAACCTGTGCATTTGGTTTTCTTTGCCTAAATGCGGCACCTTGCTTTTTTCCACCGTTGAATTTCATTTCGTTAGATAGCGCCCAACGTTCAAGTCGAACATTTCCAGCTGCGTCCTGCCGAAAAGTTACGAGGAGAAGGAGGAGGCACACGGAGTCGTCCCCCACCCCCGCATGCCTCAAATTGGGGTTGCAAACTTTTGCAGGCAGAGGCCTCCTTCCAGTTTTGTAAAAATCCTACACACACACACACACACACACACAGAGAGAGAGAGACAAACATCCAGAGCACACCAAGATCTCCCCCCTTCCCCTTTTAGGTCACTCAGCCCAAAGTGCCCTTGATTTCCCTTTAATTTAACAGCTCTGGCTCCTTTTGCAGTTAAATGGAGTGTTCATTATTGAGGGGACCTCCTTCCCTCTCCCCCCACACCGCCCTTTCTTATCCTCCTCCTCCTCCTCCTCCTCCCCCCCAGCTTTCTGAAGGTCTTGTGTGGTGCAGTTTAATGAATATTTGGCACAAAGCTCTCTTTCACGCAAGGCAAAGAATAGGTTGGCCTGTTTAGGTCCTGGAAGGCTGTATGTCAAAGCCTTCCCATAATGCTTGTCAGGCAGGGAGAGAAATTCCCACTGCTGACTTACTCGATTGACGAGCAGATTAAGACGCAAGCAGGAAATGAGATTGTATGTGGGGGGGGAGGGGGGGAAGGGCGGGGGACACCTGTTTGGCTGCTCTCATTTTCCCATCGGCCGGGGCCGGAGGGAGAAAGGAAGAAAGAAAAGAAAAGGGGGGACCCACTTTGATCAAATTAAAGAGAGAGAGAGAGAGAGGGAGAGAGAAGGGAGTGAGAGAGAGAGGTGGGGGGGGGGAAAGAAATTCTCACTTTGGCCATGCTCCATCCCTCATCGTTGTCGTTGTTGGTCTCTTTCTGTCCATCTTGTTAACTTGGGTGGGTATGGGTGGGGGAAACTCTTTGCAATTTAGGATGGTTCTGATGCAACCAGAATCAACAAGGCAGCCCAAGCAAAGTGGGATAGATAGGTACCGTACGTAGGTAAATTTCCATATTGAAAGAGAGAGTTGAATAGGTAGGTAGGCAGGCAGGCAGAGATAGGGGGGGATCTATCATCTATCTATCTATCTATCTATCTATCTATCTATCTATCTATCTATCTATCTATCTATCTATCTATCTATCTCTATATCTATCTATCTATCTATCTATCTATCTATCTATCTCTATATCTATCTATCTATCTATCTATCTATCTATCTCTATATATATCTCTCTCTCTATATATATCCATATTTGTAGATAAAGAGATAGAGATAGATAGATAGATAGAGAGAGAGAGAGAGAGAGAGATTAGATATATAGATACATCTGCATAGTTGGATGGAAGGATGGATAGAGATAGAGATTTCATTATTTGTAGTATAAATAGATATACCATAGATAGATAGCTATATTTGGATAGAAGGAAGATAGATAGATAGACAAACATTTTTCTATATTTAGATAGATAGATAGATAGATAGATAGATAGATAGATAGATAGATAGATAGATAGATAGATAGATAGGCTGGCAGGCAGGCAGGCAGGCAGGCAGATAGATATAGATAGTGACAGATAGATTTCCGTATTGTCTGTCTGTCTGTCTGTCTATCCATCCATCCAACCATCCATCTTTCTATCTATCTACCTATCTCTCTCTATCTCTATCCATCCATCCATCCATCCATCCATCCATAATATATCTGCATATTTGGATAGATAAACAGCGATAGATATAGATTTGATTATTTGTAGAGATAAATAGATATAGAGACTGGTAGATCTCGGTGTTTGGATGGATGGATGGATGGATAGCTAGATTAATCAATCAATCAATCAATCAATCAATGCCCTGTACTAAAAGCTTCCAACTTTGTTATTCTCTCTTTTGCTTTTTGTGCCCTTTTGCTTACTCCTGGTTGATCCCCCTCCCCCTCCATGAGAGACCACCAGGAGACCTCAAACCTGGAAGCCGGCCTGGAAAGTGTTAAAAACTGTAGAAATTCCCAGAAAGTGGCCCTGGCAAAACTTCCTTTCTGAATCCAACCCCCCACCCCCACCCCCCAAAAAACCCCTGCCCCGAGGTTCTCACGAAGAGTCAAAAACTCGCCCGGAAGAATGTCCCACCTCCCTTTTCTACAGACATCAAATAACTCTCTCTCTCTTTCTTTCTTTCTTTCTTTCTCTCTCTCCCTCCCTCCCTTTCTCTCTCTCTCTCTCCCTCTCCCCCTTTCTCTCTTTCCCTCCCTCCCTTTCTCTCTCTCCTTCTCCACCTCCTTTTCTCTTTTTCCCTCCCTCCTTTTCTCTTTCTCTTTCCCTCCCTTTCTCTCTCCCTCCCTCCTTCTCTCCCTCCCTTGTTTTCTCTCCCTCCCTTTCTCTCTCTCTCCCTTTCTATCTCCCTCCCTTTCTCTCCCTCCCTCTCTCCCCCCTCCCTTTCTCTCTCCCCCTCCCCTTCTCTCTCTCTCCCTCCCTTTCTCTCTCCCTCTCCCTCCCTCCCTTTCTCTCTCTCCCTCCCGCCCTTTCCCTCCCTCCCTCACTTTCTGTCTCTCTCTTTCCCTCCCTCCCTTTCTCTCTCTCTCCCTTTTCCTCCCTCCCTCCTTTTCTCTCCCTCCCTTTCTCCCTCCCTTTCTCTCTCTCCCTCCCTCTCTCCCCTCCTTTTTTCTCTCTCTCTCCCTCCCTTTCTCTCCCTCCCCTCCTTCCCCTTTCTTTCTCTCTCTCTCCCTCCCTCTTCTCTCTCTCCCTCCTTCCCTTTTCCTCTCTCCTTTTCTCTCTCCCTCCCTCCCTCCCTTTTCTCTCCCTCTCTCCCTCCCTTTCCCTCCCTCCCTCCCTCCTTTTCTCTCTCCCTCCCTTTCTCTCTCTCTCTCTCCCTCCCTTCCTCTCTCTCTCTCTTCCTCCCTCCCTCTCTCTCCTCCTCCTTTTCTCTCTCCCTCCCTCCCTTCCTTTCCCTCTCTCTCCCTCTCCCCCACACCCACACCCTTCGGCGCTCGAGGCCATTCAAGAGTTAACCGCCCCCTCCCCTCTCCGCCCCAGACGAGCCCCCTTCCCGTCCCCCTCCTCCCTCCTCCTCCTCCTCCCGCCAAGTGAAAGCCGAGGGGTGGGGAAAAAAGAAAGAAAAAAAAAAAAGAAAAAAAGAAAAAGAAGCAGCAGCCGCGCCACCACCAGCGCTTCGCAGCTTCCCGGAGTTTGCAGAGGCGGCGGCGGCGGCCCCCGGCAACAGGCAGCCCGGCCCCGTTGCCCGGCCAGGCCCCGCGGCTTCCCAACTTCCCTCCCTTGTCCGGGGCGGCAAGATGCGGGGGCCATCGGGGCAGGCTCTCCTTCCTCGACGCCCGTCGCGTCCTTTGGCCCGAAGCCCGCAGTAAAAAACAAAACCTCTCCGGCGATGGCGGTGCAAGCGGCGCCTCTGCCGCCTCCCCACCACCAGCCCTTCGGCCCCTTCGGCTTCCCGACGGCCGAGAGCTGCTACGGCCCCGACGGCAACGGCGGCGGCGGCGGGGCGTTGCTGTTGCTGGAAGGCGGCGGGGGCGGCGGCGTCGGGGCTCCCGACGGTGGTTGCCCCGAAGCGGCGGATTTCCGCGAAGCCACCCGGGACCTCTTGAGCTTCATCGATTCGGCGTCGAGCAACATCAAGCTGGCCTTGGACAAGCCGGGCAAATCCAAGCGGAAAGTCAACCATCGGAAGTATTTGCAGAAGCAGATCAAGCGCTGCACCGGCCTCATCGGAGCCAACGCGGAGGCTGCGACGGCAACGACGACCGCTTCGGTTGCAGGTTCGAGTCCAACCGCCGCCCCCGCGAACAAGCCACCCTCGGCCTCCCCGGCGCCTTCCGCCTCGACGGCTCCCTCCTGCAAGCCTCCTAAACGGGAAAGCAAAAGCCTAGCGGCGCTTTTCGACTCCTGCTTGCGCTCCGCGCCGCCTTTCCAGCCCGGCGGAGCCCCGACGGCGGCCGTTGCAACCGCGGCCGCTCCTACCTCCAACGGCCAGGAGCATCATGCAGGCTCCGCTCCGACGGCTCCCGTCGCCTGCAAGAAAGTCCCACTGCGGAACCGTAACCTGCCCCGCTCCTTCTTCACCGAGCCGGCTCCCAACCGAGCTCCCAACCCCGCCGGCTTGGAAGGAGGAACCGTCCCGTCGGTGGCCGAAGAGCTCTTCGATCTGCTGGCCGCTCCCGATTACCGAGCCTTGTTGCAAGAAGCGACGGAGCCGCATCCGCAGCCGCCCGTCTTTCCGACCGAGCTGCCTCTGGAGCCGCCGTTGTACGAGCCGCTGCCGTCGTTGGCTCCCCTGCTGTACGCCGAGACCCCCTTGCGACCCCTGCCGGCTCTCTACGCCGCCGCCGTCGCCGTGTCGGATCCGACGGCGCCCTTCTTCGCGGATTGCCCGCTGCCGCCTCCGCCGTCGATGCCCTACGATTACGGTTACAATCGGGGGGCGCCTTACCCCAGCCTTTAGTCCTGGGGAGGGGGGGCTCGGAAGACACGAGGAAGGGGGGGTGAGGGTGGGGAATGGGGGGACCCCCCAGATAAGGGACAAAAAGGGCAATGTCTGGACTTGGGGGGGGGGCGAGAGACCCCTGGAAGTGGGCACCCCCTCACTGGTAGGACAAAGAAGACTACTTGGGAAAGATTTTGGGCAGCCTTTGCCCTGCCTGATGCCCTCTGGAGGTCCCACCCTCCTCTTCCAGCCTCGCCTCCTCTGGTTATGCAGACTTGAACTTCGGAGGGTCCCGAAAGCTTTTGACATCAAAGGAAAGTTGGATGGTGATGGTTGAAGAGTGATTGGCAGGAGAATCATTAGTCTCTTAAAAGAAGGATCCATCTGTCCCAAGAATTTGGGGGACCACCGATATAAGGGACAAAAAGGGCGAGGTGTGGACTTGGAGGGCGAGGGACCCCTGGAAGTGGGCACCCCCTCACTGGTAGGACAAAGAAGACTACTTGGGAAAGACTTTGGGCAGCCTTTGCCCTGCCTGATGCCCTCTGGAGGTCCCACCCTCCTCTTCCAGCCTCGCCTCCTCTGGTTACGCAGACTTGAACTTCGGAGGGTCCCGAAAGCTTTTGACATCAAAGGAAAGTCGGATGGTGATGGTTGAAGTGTGATGGGCAGGAGAATCATTAGTCGCTTAAAAGAAGGATCCATCAGTCCCAGGAATTTGGGGGACCACCGATATAAGGGACAAAAAGGGCGAGGTGTGGACTTGGAGGGCGAAAAGACCCCTGGAAGTGGGCACCCACTCGCTGGTAGGACAAAGAAGACTACTACGGGCAGCCTTGCCCTGCCTGATGCCCTCTGGAGGTCCCACCCTCCTCTTCCAGCCTCGCCTCCTCCAATTACAGGGTCCTGAAATGTTTTGACATCAAGGAAAGTCAGATGTTGATGGTTGAAGTGTGATTGGCAGGAGAATCATTAGTCTCTTAAAGGAAGGACCAATCTGTCCCAAGAATTTGGGGGACCCTGATATAAGGGACAAAAAGGGCGAAGTGTGGACTCGGAGGGCGAGGGAACCCTGGAAGTGGGCATCCACTCGCTGGTAGGACAAAGAAGACTACTGTGGGCAGCCTTGCCCTGCCTGATGCCCTCTGGAGGTCCCACCCTCTTCTTCCAGCCTTGCCTCCTCCGGTTACACGGACTTGAACTTCGGAGGGTCCCGAAAAGTTTTGACATCAAAGGAAAGTTGGATGGTGATGGTTGAAGATTGATTGGCAGGAGAATCATTAGTCTCTTAAAAGAAGGACCCATCCTTTTCCAGGAATTTGGGGGACCCCCCTTCCCGGACCCCCGATATAAAGGGGCAAAGAGGGTGAGGTGTGGACTTGGAGGGCGAGGGACCCCTGGAAGTGGGCATCCACTCATTGGTCGGGCAAAGAAGACTACTTGGGAAAGGCTATGGGCAGCCTTGCCCTGCCTGATGCTCTCTGGATGTCCTGGACTACATCTCCCATCCTCCTCTTCCAGCCTCGCCTCCGATTACGCAGACTTGTGTTGAACTCCAGAGGGTCCTGAAAGGGTTTTGACATCAAAGGAAGTTGGATGTTGATGGTTGAAGAGTGACTGGCAGGAGAATTATTAAGGCTTTTAACAGAAGAACCCATCTGTCCCAGAATTTGGGGGATACCCCCACCCCTCCCAGGACAGTTAAGCCTGTGTAAAGTCTTAAACTGAGATTGCTCTGAATTGTAACATTTTCATACCCTTATGGGCCAGTTTTGTCCAAGCTGAATAAGTCTTGTTATTTTGTGGGGGGCGGGAGAATTGATGTTGGACTTGGGGATTTGCATGCCTAGCTTAGTTTCCAGAACGAAATCATAAAAGCGACACTGTGGCCTAGTGGCTAGAATGAAGTATTGCAGGCAAACTCTGCCGACGGCCAACAGTTTGATCCTGACCGGCTCAAGGTTTGACCCGGCCTTCCATCCTTCCAAAGATGGGAGGTCCCAGATTGTAGGGGCGATATACAGGTAATCCTCCACTTACGGCTGCGTTTGAGGCCCAATTTTTGTTGCTAAGTGAAACATTGGTTAAGTGAATTTTGCCCCATTTTACGACCTTTTGTGCCACAGTTGTGAAGTTAGTAACGTGGTTATTAAAGTGAATCTGGCTTCCCCATTGATTTGCTTGTCAAGTGCTCTGCAAAAGGGGTTCACACGAGACCGGGAGACTTCAAGCGTCATAAATGTGAGTCAGTTACATTCAAGTATCCTGAATGTAAATCACACAATCATGGGGATGCTGCAACAGTCATAAGAGTGGAAATTGTTCCTAAGTCACTTTTTTTCCAGGGCTGTTGCAACTTTGCACGGTCACTAAATGAACTGTCGTAAGTTGAGGACTACCTGTACATAGTGACTTGGCTTGATATATTAAAAAAAATTACCATATTTTTCGGAGTTTAAGACGCACTTTTTTCCCCCTAAAAGGGGGTGAAAATTTGGGTGCGTCTTATACGCCGAATGTAGCCCCGCCCACTCACTGGCCCCCCACCCTTTGGCCTCTGCCTCCCAGCAATTTACCTCCTTTGCAGCAAGTAGCAAGAAGAAACAAGCCTGTTTCAGCTTCAGCACAGCCTAATTAGCACAAGTTGATTGGATCGGCCTCCCGACTCTCAGCTGTTTTGCTCTCAGCTGTTTTGCGCCGGCCTCTGCTGCTTGCTGCAAGGAGGTAAATTGCTGGAAGCAGATTTTTTTTTTTCTTGTGCCTATCAAGCTATGCTGAAAACGAAAATGAAAGTAAACCAGGCTGTTTGCTGCAATGAGGCAAAATTGCTGGGAGGCAGAGGCAGATTTCTTTTTCTTATTTTCTTCACCAAAAAAGGTAGGTGCGTCTTATAGTCCGGAGCATTTTATACTCCGAAAAATACGGTAATTTGTAACATTCTTTGTATTGTATAGGCAGACCAGGCTATCTGCAATGACAATCTGCAAACTTTATTCCTCTTTTCTAAACTGCAAGCAAGTGAATGGAAAAAAAATAATAATCATCTGCTTTACAGGAAGTCCTTGACTTATGACTGTAATTGAGGATGGAAATAATAGTCACAAGTTGGGCCACATTGACCAGACCTGATTCTATGATCTTTTTTGTGGAAGGAAAAAACTTAAATCATGATTATAGGACTCTGCAAAGAGTTGTAAATCAGTGCCAGTTTGCAGAGTGGCCGAATTTGTGGTCACAGGAATGTGAGGTGGGGTGATGTCGGAACATCAGAATCAGGTCATAAGTCCCGTTTTCAAACAATTGCTAAGAGGCTGGTCATAAACCGAGGACTGTAGGTAGTCCTGGAGTTACAACCATTCACTTAGTGACTATTCAGAGTCACAACCACACTGAAAAAAAAAGCAACTTACGACCCTGTTTCACATCTACGACTGTTTTGGCATCCTCCCCCAAATTCAGACGCTTGGCGGCTGGTTCCTCTTTATGACGGGTTGCAGTCAGTCAAGATGCCCTTTTGCGACCTTCTGACGAGCGAAGTCGACGCGGGAGCCGCAATCCCTTAACCGCCGTGTCGCTAACTCGACAACGGTGACCAGGAAGGTTGTAAAATGGGGCAGAAGAACTCCCTGAACAAACTGTCTCGCTTAACAGCGGAAATGTTGGGCTCAATCGTGGTCGTAAGTCGAGGACTTCCTGCCCCTCTGTTTCATAATGTTACATATAACCTACCGTCCCTTAAGCTGTATAGGTGTTACATCCCTATTATGTCTCTGTCCACAAGATTTTACCTGACTGTTTACATGGAACATATTTGTTTTTCACAATTAATGTTCTCTTTGGTGATAATTCAGTTATATTAACCTTCTGGAGGGTGTTTTGTATCCTTTTCGGGGCTCTAGATGTACAGAAAATATTTTTTTGGCAGGGTTCAAACCCTCTTAATGTATCAGGAATTGAATTCATGGGCCGTTGTGCTTTATATGACCACGTACAGGTAGTCCTTAAAGAGTGGTGCGGTAGCCTAGAGGTGGAACTCTCGCCTCACAATCAGGAGGCTGCGAGTTCGATCCAAGGTAGAGGCAGATATTTCTCTCTGGGGGCACAATGTGAATATATCTGCTGAAAAAAAAACCTCTGCATTGGCGACAATAAGGGCATCCGGCCAGTAAATACTCAGCAGCTCCATTCAGTTGCCTAGACTCCGCCCCGCAAGGGATTTAGGGGGTCATTAAAAGAGGAATGATGATACAGGTAGTCCTTAACTTACAACCATTTGCTTTAGCGACCTTTCAAATTTACAACGGCAGTGAAAAAAGTGACTTACGACTGGTCCTTGCCCTTACGACCATCGTGGTCACTCTTGGCAACCAAGCATCTATTTTATGATGGTTGCAGTACCCGAGCGTCATCTGATCGCTGGCTTTCTGTCAAACAAAATCAAAGGGGAAAGTCAAACTGTGATTCGCTGAACAACCGCACTGATTCGCTTAACAACTGCACCCCCAAAAGGTCGCAAAATGGGGCACCACTCCCTTTACACCTAATTTGCTTGGCAATGGAAATTCTCGTCCTAACTGTGATTGTAAGTCAAAGAATGCCTGTATAGCATGTTAGTTTTAGGATCTGTCCGGGTTTTGCTGCCGAGTGGTGTTTCGCTATGCACACCTGACGATTCCCAGTAAGGATGAAACTGGTCATGTCCTGCTTTGCTAATGCTTCATGCTTCATTCATGTACAGCACAAAATTGTGTGGCTAACAACGTGTGGATTTTTCTCATAACCACATTCATAATTTTTAGTTTAGTGTGTGCATGCAGATCAGGCTAGAACATAGAACATAAAATTAACAGAGTTGGAAGGGGCCTTGAAGGTCTTCTAGTCCAACCCTCTGCTTGGGTACAATTTCAGACAAATGGCTGTCCAGGCTCTTCTTAATATCCTCCAGTGATGGGGCACCCACAACTTCTGGAGGCAAGTTGTTCCATTGGTTGATTGTTCTCACCATTAGGACATTTCTCCTTAGTTCTAGGTTGCTTCTCTCCT